GGACCATTCCATGAGCGATACGCATGACCAAAAGAGGCGTCCATTCCGAAGTTGCCCTGCTGGGCGAAGGGTGGAGTGGACTCCCGCCCCATCCCCACGCTACATGCTCCCAGTGCATATGTCGCCGTTGACACTTCGAGACGGAGGGCACTCATCCCCTCAGAGCTGCTCGGCGTGGACGATTGGTTCTCTCCCTCAACTGGACATGAGAGAAACCCGCATGGATTTCGCCATCAACATGGACATATTGAATCTGTCTCACTCCCAGTCAACCCAGTTTCTGGTCTTTCATGGTCCAGGCGGTGCTCTGCCTCCCGAGAACCAAGATGTCCGTCTTCAAGGATAATACCAGGCATATGCTCCGCCCAACCAGGCCAATTGACCGGTTGTTATTTGCCATGAAGGCCATACCTCCAGGATCCGGTACTATCAGCCACTCCAAAATGACACTTTCTCGGGTCTTCGGCCTGGTACTACCGAATCATGTGACCTTCGGATGAAGCTCATCTAAAACTTAATTGATGACTCCGACATAGGGGGACCTGGCCTACCTAGGAGTTTCGGACCCCAACCAACTTCGGCCTGGACCCTGGAGTCCGGAGGAGGGACCTCTTCATGCCAACTGCATGGAACTACCTGCAGGTTTGTTCACCATTCGCAGCTTCCCCAGGGGAAGTAGTATTGCTCGCTACCTTCTGGCATGGACTTATCACTGGTTACCCACTACGGACTGCAGTCGGATCTCACGTAGGATCGCTATCTATAGCTTCTGGACAAGTATTCGTCATTTGTGACAGAATGTCTGCGGGATGAGACACTCATGTGGCGGACGGCTTCACCCGACCATGGAGAGACCCCAATGATTGGTTGCCTCACCCTCCGGGGTCTCAAGTACTGGCATGATTACATTTGGTGCGAACCGCCATTCTGCCGGACCCTCGGCGAGGGACGTGTTTTCCAAGCTTGGTCTCCTTCGGGGCATACGCATCCCGTTTACCTACAGGATACTTTGTGCTTTGCTTCAGACCGAATTCCTGGAAGTGTCGTTTTCGCCTGGCCACACCACTTCGGAGGAGTCCTCCATGCTGTAAATTTTATTAAAGACCGGAGGTGAATATTTCCCCCCTTCCCCCTTTTTTACGTTCCCTCCCTGGATTTGGGTCTTATTCTATTATAAATAATTGGGGATATATGTTTTGTGAATGCATGGTTTTACATAATAAAGGCTATTTCTATTATTCAGTGATTGTCCGTGTGCGTTTTATTCATCATGTTTGTGTTGTAATTATGTTTCGTCAATGCCTTATAGTTTAGGTACATACTAGGTCTTAATAAGATCTGTAGACTTTGTTTATTCATCAGGTATTATGATGTGCAAGTGATAATGTATGGATATTACACCTTGACAGTTTACTTTCACAATGTTTTCTGTTTTCTTGCAGTGTAATCTGTTTTCTCTCTGGGCTTGACGATTGTTTCTCTGGATGTGTCTGCTACAAGGTGGATTCGTTGGTTTCCTTGCTCTCCTGCTCGTCCTCATCAAAGAAATAGGAAGTGGAAGAGCCTGCTTAGGGGTTTTATACTACTGTTGCTTTGTTCTGATTGGTTGTTTTGAAAAGTTCTGTTAACTGTTTCTTTGCTGCTGGATGTTTCTGTAAAGAAGGTAAAGCAAATATGAAGCTTCCTGTCCTGCCATAAAATTTAGATTATTCCCTCACCGAGGCTAGAATAATCCCTAATTGTGTGCTTGTTACATTTAACACTATGGAAGTTTTTTTTTTGTTTTTTTTAAATGCTCATATCAGGATGACAATTTGGTTTTCAAGTCTTATTTTTTATTTTATTTGTATCTGTAATTCAATCATTTCTTGACAGATAAGTATTATACGTTCCAGATATCTGTAATACAGTATGATATGCAATATAAGTAGCAACTGGCAGAGGTAAAAACAGTATATGCAAGAAAAGGGTAGCATGATAAAATAAAGTTAATGTGTATTGTCCTATGCCATGGAGAATAGCATTGCATTATATCATAAGCAGCTTTTTTCCACCCAAGTTAACTAAATGAAAGAAAATGTTAAGCTAAAACTATTCTATACTTGGCATAGGGCTTGCATTGAAGCATTATAGCGTACAATGTAAATACAGTGCAGATGTTATACATTATAGATAGCAGCCTAATGGTGTGTGATATAGGTAGCAATTGGCAAAGATAAAAACAGATTAACGTACGGTATTTAAAAAAAAAGAAAGGTAGGATGAGAAAATAAAATGAATGCGCATCTTTCAACTATTAACTAGATTACCAAGTCATACACTGTGGAGAATAGCACTCCAGTGTGTATATTGCTCCTTACATATAAAAAGAGCACGTGAGAAGAAAGTTAAGCAGGGAAGTAATAGTATGGTAGTTAGAGAATTGTCACAAGGGAAAAGAAATGAAGCAGAAGAGAGAAGAGAAAAACAATTGAGAATAGAATGAGCGAATTAGGAAAGTAAGAAGAAAAACATGGAACAAAAAAGGAATAAAAATAGTGAATAACCTTCATATAGATCTAATGGCATGTCCTGGTGAGCAATTAATTGTTCTAGCACTAACCAGGAGATCCAGTCCTAGCATGCCCAGTGGAATAATAATTGTGAGCATAAGATAAGCATGTCTGTCCAGAAGCCAGAGCCAGAGTTAACTAAATAAAATTAGAAAAATTAATTTGAATCACCCCCTCCCCAGTGCAAACGAGGCAAAGGCAAAATATGAAGGACTATAGAGATATATCTAATATCTTTTTATAAAAGCTTGACAGGGAAAAAGCTTTAAAGAACTCCATAAACTCATTATTTATTACATTTAAGTTTCACTATATTTTTGTGGTTTGTCTTTTCTATTTTGCTGAACGTCTATTGATTATTGACTATTGATTTTCTAGCTACTGACCAAACACGGTTTCATTGGATTGCCTGATATCTGTTTCCCTGATCATGGATTTTGATTTCCCAGGTTTTTGTAAACCTAGACCTTGACAAGTCTATTTATGTTAGGCTTTACCTGTTATCTATCTAGGAAGATCCTGTGTTTCATTCAGCCTAGCCACTCTAAGGTTATATAATAATAATTTCTAGCCATTTTGTTTCATTCTTAGTGCAACAAAAATTGGTATTACATAACCCTTGCAGTGCCGCTGAGAACTTGGCCTGCTACAACTACTGGCAATCCTTGCAATAGTGCATTGTGTCTAAATAATTACATGCAAGAGAATTACTTGTATACTTTTTAAAGTCTAAAAGATGGCTTCTCTCTGCTAACCAGTAACATCACACAGAAGCCCTTTTCATTGTATATGTTACAGAATATTTTGTTAGCATTTGCAGGATGTGAAAAAAAGTGTCTGGGTAGTGTGAGGGGAGCTATTGTAGTAGTTTAAATAAGGGCAGCTTCGTGAAGATCCCATAAACAGAGGCCAAACACATGCATTTTGGTGGCTGAAATCTCACATCACTTAATACTTTCCCTAAGGATAGCTATGAACGCCAACCACTTTGGCTCAGAGAGCAGTCATGGTGAACGGCAGCCAGCCTCAACTGAACTTGTGGTCAAACACTTTTTTTTTTTTCAGTTGCAACAGAATTTCAGATTTTAGTTTAATATAAGTTAAATGGCCTGGAAAAAAGTCAAATGAAGTAGGATTTTTTGCACTCAAAATGCTCCATCTGGTCTGCAATACAATTACTTTAAAACCAAGATTAGTCTAAGAGACAGTGATACAAAACTGTATGTGTACACTGATACTTTGAAATATGCAAATTATGCAGGTGTCCATGTGTGTGTCTCAAGTTTCAAATGGTAGGTAATTGAAAACACACTTCCACCTTTTAGTGTTATAGGTGGAAGGAACAGGTTAAAGGGACACTATAGTCACCAGTGCAGCTTAATGTAGTGGTTCTGGTATCTATAGCTTGTCCTGCATGTTTTTTTAATGTAAACACTATGTTTTCAGAGAAAAGACAGTGTTTACATTACAACCTAGGGACACCTGCAGTGGTCACCCATCAAAAGGTCACTGGAGGTGATTCTTCCTGTGAACTGGCGTTCAGCATCTCCAGGCAGAGTGTGGAGACACTGAAAATTCCCCATAGAGATGATATTCCCACTGATTCAATGCATCTCTATGAGGAGATGCTGATTAGTGCAGACTAGCATTTTTCTGCACATGTGCAATAGTCTCCCAATGCTTTCTTATGGGAAAGTATCGGATTGGCTCAGATAATTAAGTTTGATGATCTCAGCCAGGGAGGAAGAGTGAAGTGGGGCCATTCGGTAGAATGCAGTTCTGCCTTCTTTTCCGGTTGTGTTTAATGCTGCCTAGCAACAACAATCATATTTTCATAGGAACCGCACAAAAAAGCCAAGAGCGCTAAACTGGACCATGTGCCAGCACAATCCCATTCCCAAAGGAGTCAGTTCAGCATATTTATCCATCAAAAGGTAAGTATAATATATATACTATAGAACATCCTTGTCCTAGTGAACCACCAACATTCCAGTATTTCACAGCATATGTGGTGCACAGGTGTCACACTACCCGCCAACACTTACCTTCCCCATGGTGCCCGCAGTCCTTGGAGGTCTCAGGCACTCATGGCTCTGTACCGCCACACTCCTACTGTGGCTTCTTCAGCCCCAGACGCTGCTGCCCAGCCCCGGGATCCACTTAGTTTGTGCTGCCACAGAAAGATGGCAATGGCCATGTAGACACTGTTGTGGCATGTGGGAGGGATTGGAGAGAGGGCTGGTGGGAGAGTGGCCTGGACAGACTAACGGGAGGAACTGGGGAATAACCAATATGGCACCTAGTCTCACCCCCTCCTTTTTAGGCAGTTGGTGTGCATCTGCAGGGTGGTGGGAGCTGATCATGTGATCGGCTTAGTCAGTGAATGGTTGTTCTGGTGCTTGCTCTCAGTCTCCTGGCATTCAATTTTTTGTTCCTGGTTCTTGATTTCCGGTTACTGGTTCCTGATTCTCGGTAATACTTCTCGGCTTCTGACCTTTGGATTTGGCCCTGACCCCATTTCTTGTCTGACATGCTGCTCTCCATTCATGGATATCCTGGCTTCTGACCTTGAGCCTGACTCATGACCTTGCTCCTTTGCTTCCAGTCCTGACCTTTGGACCACCTGACACCACTTCCTGCCTGCTCCTCTCTGGCTTCTTTGCCAACTCTGTAAATAAAGGCACCCATGCCTTCATAGATCACACAGGTTTCTGTATCACTCTCAGGCACCTGGGAAGACCGTGTTTGCAAGGGGTTACCATTCCACTGCAATTCTCTCCAAACAAACCAATCAGTAGGTTGTCACAACAGGAGGCTTACTGAAAATGAACATTTAACTGATTAAAGCAGGAATGTCATGAAATTCTGAACTACTAGGTGATTTCTGAGGACAGGTATGAAGATCACTGATCTAGAACATGGCTGAAAAATATTTATATACCGTATGTATTCTCTCCAATAAATTAGGGAGGGGGGGGAGGGTGTGTGCGCGCGCGCGTGTGTGTGTGTGTGTGTTTGGTTTGTTTTTTACAATAAGAAATTAAGTATTTTAACATTCATTAACTCATCTACAAAGCCTTCTATGTTTGACAGGATACAATCTCTATTTTCATTATTCTAAATATTTACATCCATTTAATTCTTTGCAAATAGTGAAAGATGATGAAATTAAATGGTGCAATTAAATGACAACACTTTTGGGTTTATTCACTAAACAAAATGCCAGATAAAAAAAAATACAAATCTCCATCTCAGCCACACTTATTTCTTGGATATCTTTCAGTTCCTTACAATTCATGTAATATGATTTTCTAGTCATTTTCTCTTCTGCCATACATGTCAATTACTAGGTTATTTTATCCGTATTTAAAAAAAAAAAAAAAAAATTATTCAGAATGCAATATTTTACAGTATATAATAAATAATACTTAACAAACTTGTGAGAAAGAGAAAAAAATGCAATTACCTTTCCAGGTTTAAGGGACCACTTCAAGTGGTCTGGGTACCTATAGTGTCTCTTTAACTACTAACTTATTATTCTCTCTCTTTCCTTGCAACTGTCACCTCTCTGCAACCCCTTGTGAAAATTGCTGAGGTTGTATGACAAATGTAACCTAGTCTCTCCGGATCCAGATGCCATCTATTGATGGCTTTTAAGCCATTTCTTTAATTGTAGTGAAGGTTGTTATTTTTAAACTTACCTGAAAGATCTTGCTCCATTTCCCTTTTGAAATTTCACTACCCAGGTCACATTCAAAGAGTATCTGGCATGGGTCTTAAAAAGATCTGCAAAATTCTGGGGACTTGATCTTGGCATAGTATGTTTTATTAAATAGTTGGATTGTACCTTTTAGAAAGTGAGTGATTAAACGTGCCTTTATCTCCAAAGATTATACGTGTGCGAGGTTGTGATTGTTATTAAGATAACTCAATATGTAGAGATTACACGATCTATATGCTAATTTAGCCAGTGTTCGGTATACATGACTGTTTTTTTTTTTTTTTCATTATGAATTTACATCATGCACTTGTTTGAAAAAATAAATATATATATATATATATATATATATATATATATATATATCCATTCTGCATCAATTATGTATGACTAATTCCACACAAGGCCAAAACTTTGCTTCTGTTGTGCTCAATAAACAGCTATCTAAGGGCTTGTTTCTATGCTTAATGGTAAAACGCAGCTGTTAAACATCATTAATATCAACATCTGGTAGATGTTTGCAGTTACAAAACACAGAAAGGTTTTCATGTTCCATTGCTGTCTCTATATATTTTATATATAAAACAAACTTAGATTCGTGTGTGCTTTAATCAAGAGTTATATGCTTATCAACTCTATCAGTATACCAATGTGGAGTTTTTTCAATAAAACGAAGCTGCTACAACACTAAATGTGTAAATGTGTAATTCTCCAAAAACCACACAAATACTTATTTCATACACAGAAAATAGTGGAGCGCTATCTTAGTGTAATACATAGACAATTCATATATATGTATGTACTAAAAGACACTTAGCTTAATTTATTATTGAGGAACTTCAATTCTGTGTGTGTTCCTTCAAATAGAGAAATAAAAATTTCCAGAGCTATGTAAACTAGCTCTGGTATGTATCGCTTATTGGTCCATTATTATTATTATTATTATTATTATGATATTTATAGAGCGCCGTAAAATTCCGCAGCGCTTTACAATGGTTGGACGAACAGACATGTAATTATGGGCGACCACTCCTCCTTCTGGATCTTGTAGTTATGGTACTCTTTCCTTTCCTTGTTTTACTTGGGATAAAAGAAACACAGTAATGGTGCAGATCATCTTATACTTCCATATGGTGAATAAATAGCAATTATTATACTCACAAGTGTGACGCCTGTATGCTGGCCCAGTAAAGGTGCATAGTGACCACATACCTTTCTTTAAAATTGCTGGAGTCCAAGTTGATTTTTGAAAATGGATATTTATTTCAATATTTAAATAATAAAAATATGCAATAAATCGAGTTTATTAAATACCAAATATGAAGGTGAAGTCTATAGTAGTCCAGACACGCGTTTCGCCGTCCTATGGCTTCCTCTAAAATATGACTCCTCTATCTGATTTATTCTCTTTTATACCTTCTTTATTAGTGTTAACCTACTCCGGCTGATGATGATTGTATTACCCCTCGTTCTGGGTATGCGTTGTGTTCCAAGCCTCATTGTGAATTTTAAATTCGATTTCCGTTTTTAGTCTCGTCATGTCATTTCCAGTTTGTAAATAAAAAAATAAATAAATACATTTTTAAAATTCTGGGTCTCTGAATTAAAATCCTTTATTATACGCCTATGATTATTTGTCCTGTTGCATGCCATACATTGTCCACAACCATAAAACCCTACATTTTCACTGAATTGATATGTTCCTGTTTTGTCTTTTAAGTGACTTCTTACCACCTCACTTTAAATATCACTGACCCCTCTATGTATAATGTTAGGTTGATCCATTAAAACTTCTTTTAAAACAGGGTTCTGTTGCAATATATGCCAATTCCGTTTAATAATCTCACTTTTCTATTATTTCTAAATAAAAGGTACTTTCTCATTCTTTTTAGGGTTATGTTCCAGCAATTCTTTCCTATTCCCTTTTTTATTTCTATTCTTGTTTTCTCTAAGTCGGCTTTTCCATATCCCTTCTGTATAAAATCTTGTTTTATTTTGAGTGACTGTTTTTCATAAGTGTTCTTATCCGTACAGTTCCTCCTAATCCTTAAAAACTGCCCTTTGGTTGCATTTTCCAGCCAGGGTGAATAATGGCAGCTGACCCTTTCAATAAAACTGTTTGTGTCAACCGGTTTAAAATGGTTCTTCATTTTTAAAAATCCATTTTCTATAAAAATATTCAAATCTAAAAATATCACCTCCTACTTGCTCCACACACTATTGATTTCTATACCCCATGAGTTATTATTCAGAAATTCTATGAATTTAACCAGGTTCTCTTCAGTGCCATTCCATACAAAAAAAATATCATCGATATATCGGCCATAGGTGACCAAGTTCTGCTGCCAGTCATGTTGACCATAAATTCGTATAACTGGGAGCAAATTTGGTCCCCATGGCCGTACCTTTAACCTGTATAAAAAAAGTTGTCACCGTACCAAAAGTAATTATTTTGCAATATAAGATCATTGCCTTCAATTAAAAATTCCATCTGGGCTGGTAAAAATTCTGCTGATTTCTCTAGAAAGTGGCTCACTGCTTCGCATCCCTTTACATGTGGGATGTTGCTGTAGAGTGCTGTGACATCACTTGTTATCAGTGTAAAGTTACTTTCCCATTTACTCTTTTTCAATTAGATTTATTGCTGTGGTTGTATCGTTAATATATGATCTAGTTTCCTGTACCAATGGTTGCAGTTGGATATCAATATATTCTGAGATCCTACTAGATGTTGCCTTGATACCTGCAATAATCGGTCTACCTGGTGCGTTAGTCACATCTTTATGAATTTTTGGCAAGAAATAAAACACAGGGATTTCTGGAACTTTAATATTAGGATAATCATATTTTTTAACTAAGAATGTCTTTAGATAGAACATCATTTAAAAAATCTAATAATTTTTTACTAATCTCTTTTGTGGGATCTGCTTTATACGTATTTTTTTATACGTATTTACAACATCTAAGAGTCTTCTTGCTTCTAAATCATAGTAACATTTAGACACAAGTACTATCCCCCTGTGACATACTGCCCTTTGCTACTAGCTTTTCGAGGAGCCTGATTGCCAGCCTCCTGCCTTATGACTATGGCCCTGGGGTGTATTGCCCTTTAAGAACAATGTCCCTTTTTAAACTGTGTCCCCAGACTGTAAAAATACTTGTTCGTGTCCTTTTTCCCATATGGTTCGGTAAATGGGGCTTGCCGAACAAAATACCGAACAGGAGGCCCACACACAAGTGGAGTGTGCAGCCAGTTTACCTCCCAGGCTGGTCGTTAACCGCAAGCTAATTGTCGAATGGCTGGGTGGCCACCGTTTGTATAGTCGAACACGGTCATCTTGTTTAGTCGAATGCGGTCAGCGGTGTTTTGGCGTCAAGCTCATGGAACTGAAATCAGATACACGACGGCATGAACACCGCTGAACCTTACCTTCTTTGCAACTTCGACGAAAATTGAAGTGCTTTCGAATATTCGAATGCCACGTTAACATGGCGTCAAGGCAGGGCGCCAATGTCAAGGCAGACCCCCCCCCAGGTGGGTCCTAACTCTAACCATTCACCTTGCTTCCTTGAGCTTCTGGCAAAGATTTTAAGGTTTAAAAATACATAGGGATTAAGGAGAGAGCACAGGTAACTTGTTTTTCTTTGGTTTTTACTATATATTGTGGCTTATGTGTACTGTAGTCTTTGCTGCCGCCCAGTGATGGGAGTGAGCGCAGGACTTATCTTTCTTCATTTGTATCCATTTTTGTATCACTCAGCCTTATTACAATGCAGCCGCCTATCCCATGTGTTCCCTGTTAAGGGTTAATAATATATAGGGGTGTATATAAAAAAAAACCTTTCTGTCTCATTAGAGATCTTTGCCAGAAGCTCAAGGAAGTAAGGTGAATGCTTAGAGTTAGGACCCACCTGAGGCAGGGGGTCTGCCTTGACGTTGGCAGGTGGGCTTATCCTCTCATGGCCATTGGAGGTAACTAAAAAAACCTCCATTTGTTTAAAAATACATAGGGATTAAGGAGAGAGCGCAGGTAACTTGTTTTTCTTTGGTTTTTACTATATATTGGGGCTGATGTGTACTGTAGTCTTTGCTGCC